CGCTTAACCAACTGAGCCACCCAGGCGCCCCCCAATTCCACCTACTTTAAACTTACTCTACTGGGGTAGGAGTAGAAGATGCCGTGGCTTCAAGGAGGTGAAATGCACCCAAGAATAGTAGTGGGCGATGTTTGTGTTTTCCTTGGAGGGAGAGACAAGGAAATATTCTGGGCCACAGGGCTGGTTAAAGAATCACGCATGAGAATCATGGCGGACCTGAGAGGACTGCCACCTGGTCCATGCCGTGTGGGCAGAGGGGGTGAAGTCGGAAGGAAGCGGAAATAACAGCTACCTCCCTGACCGCCTCCCTCCACGTAACCTCCAGATTAGCAGGGCAACTGGGCAACTGGAACGGTGCTACCGGGACCCGCCTGGCCATGAGGGGAGCTTTGCCCCCTGATGAAGTCTTACCTCAGGGTCAAGCTTTTTCAATTCTTTTTCTTCTAGTGCTATTCTAGGCAGGAGTAACCACAAGGCCTGGGAGGGCCTACAAGAGCCCTGTCAGCAGGAGAACCCACCCGATGCGGCCTCAGGTTGGACTCTTTGCTTGTTAACAGCCTCCACCAGATCTGTGGTCATAGGTCTCTGAGGCTCAGACACTTGTAACTTACAGGCTTATTCTTTTCAGCAAAACTGCTTTTGCAAACTTTGAATTCGGCCAGGAACTGCGTTTGTTCAAATACTCTGAGCAGTGATGAAGCACAGAGTGGCCTCGGTAGCCACAAAGAGCAGTGGCAGCTGCTGTCCCAGCAGAAGAATGACACTTGGTGAGGCGTGGGCAGTGCTGGCCAGTGAGCTAGGGGACAACAGGACTTCTCAGCTTCCTAACTATGGTGACTTTGGGGATCTGGGTGCAAGGAGGAGGAAGGGGCCGCAAGGGGCAGAATGCCACAATGTGCCCCCACTCCATTTCTGAGCCAGGGGAAGTTGGTGATAGAACTGAATTGCATTCTTTCCTCCACATTCTCTTTCCCTGAGGAGAATCTCCCATCTCCTCACAAAGCCAGGCGGGGGTCGCAGGCAGAATGACCTTTATTGGGAGCACGACCTGTTTGGGGCTGACCACCCCGTGGCCCCCACAGGTAGCTGGGGGTGGGGGTAGAGACAGTATCAGGAAAGGAGGAGTAGAGCCAAGGCTGTGGGGACTGGCAGGGTGGAGCGGGCGGGAGCCCCGGCAGGTTCAGGCCGAGGCGCAGCAGCGTTACTACTACTCTTGGAGCGTGAATACGCTAGGGAGGGGCAGGCACTTAGGGGGCCCTAGGGCACGAAGGCACTTGGAGGCAGGGAGGGCACGGGGGCATGTGCAGCGGGACCCGGCAGGCCCAGGCCCGGGGTTTGGCAGGCACTCTGGGGAGTGCTGGGGTGGGGTGGGGCGGGGCGGGGCGGGCCGAGTCCCAGAAGGCTTTGGTAGCGGCCCCGCACAGTCTCTGGGCCGGGTCTGCATTAAATAGCGGCGGCTGCCCTAGTGCTCATCCCGAAGCTCCGAAGGCAGGAACTTGTACTGCTGTTGCCGGATCTGGGCCAGCTTCTTCCGCGCCTCTTCCAGCTCTCGCTCCTTCCGAAGCATTTCTTCCTGTGCGGCGATGATCTGCGGGGTGGAGACCAGGGGCTCAGCTCAGCGAGGGCGCGCCAGGCGCGGGGCGGCCGGGGCCAGCGCCGGTGGCGTGAGCGCCCTGAGCGCCCTGCTGGCCGTGTCCGGCGGTGTCTGGGGCGATGCTCACCTGGGCGATGCCCCCGACCATCTTCTCCTTCACCACCACTGTTTCGTTCTCCTGGTCTTCAAAGGCGGCGGCCTTCTGGGCCGCCTTCACCAGATTGTCGGAGGCTCGCTTCACCGCGTTGCCGGCGGCCTGGGCAGAGGGAAGGCAGCGGGAGGCTGGAGACTCAGCCGAGAGAGTCGCTGTACGCCCTCACGGGGACGCACGGCTGGGGGTAACGGTTTAAAGCAGCACAGCCCAAGGGGCCGTCGGATGGCCAGGGTTCCTCACCTGAAGTCGTTTCATCGCCTCAGAGTCCTGGTCAGCCTTGACCTTGCAGGCCACAAGGAGCTGGGCTGTGGAGGCGGCCACCTGCTTGGCTGATGAGATGAGCTTCTCCTGGCTGGCGTGGCCTTGTACGGCGGCATTGGCGGCTTCACACAAATTGTTGGTGGCCGCAGCCACCATCCGGGCCTGAAGTGGGGAGGGTCAGGTTAGAATATGCCTCTTGCCCTGGTCCTCCCCCCCCCCCGGCCTTCTCAAGCCGCCCTAGCCGAGGGACCTAGTGGGCACTGTGTACTCACAGCAGAAATGAGGCCCTGGGACCACTGCCCATCATCCAGTGCATTGGCTGGAATGGCGCCCACCTGTGGGGGAAAGAGGAGGGCCTACTCACACCTGTGCCCTCCGTGGGCGTGTAAAAGCCCCCCATCAACTGGAGGACGGGCAGCAAAGCGGCTGCTGTGCCCGTTCTCATGCGCGTCCGAGTACGTACCTTCCCCTGGGCCACCAGTTCCCTCTGGGCTGCTGACGCCGCCTTTACCAGGGCGCTGGTGGCCGCCGCGATGGACTTGGCAGCTTCCAGGATCTGCTCCTCAAAATTTAGGGACTCATCCGCCTCCTACAAGGAACAAAGGTTGCAGAGAGAGACGCAAAGTGAAGGTGGGGGCAGTAGGAGGGGCGGGAAGAGGGACGGGGGAGGACTGACCTTGGGTTTGGCCCGAGGCTTCAGCTGCTCCAGCTTTTTGGCTGCAGCCTCAATGGCGGCCGCAGCCCCCAGGAGCTCGTTCTCAGCGATGACCGTGGGGTCCTCTGGGTCCACCCATTCTGTTCCTGGTGGGGCGAAGGGAGGAAGACAAGGGCTAAGGCAGAGCAGGGAGGTCAGGAGCACTGGGCAGCATGGTTAGCGCCCCCGGCACCTGTGGGGACTTGCGGGCAGAGGCCAGCTCTGAGCAAGCCCAACCAAGAGGCAGAGATCCCCCCCCCGCCCATGACAAAGGCTGCCCTTCCCGCCCTGCCCCTGGTCACCCCTCACCCTTCATGGCCTCAGCAGCCTGGATGAGCTCGGTGACCGAACCAGCCACACGCTTTGAGTGTCCCGTCAGCTGCTGCTTCAGTTCTGGGCTTGGCTTCTGCAGGGTCTGGGGAAGAGAGGCCAGGGAGCAGGAAGCATCAGAGCTTAGCTTCCGCCGGAGCTAAGAGACAGGCCAGCCGTGCCCCCTGCCCCCTGCCGGGACCGCTCCACGCCGCAGCCCGCAAACCCCATGCCGCCTGCGCAGGTGTGCTCCCGGCCCCGCACCGCACACATGGGGAAGACAGTGGGGCTGTGTGTCACTCACCGGCTGACAGGGAGCAAGGAGAATGATGAAATGAGGAGAAAGAAGAGACGACGAAGGTAGAGAAGGGGGCGGTCAGGTGGGAAGAGAGGAGGTAAAAGAAATGAAGAGGAAGAGGTGAGCGGGAAAACCAAAGATGCTAAGAATGATGGGGCCCCCAGTGGAAGGGAGGCTTGGGCATGAGAACAGATTTGGGACATAGAAGGTGGGGTGGGGAGGAGATGTGAACAGCCAACTGGAGAGCTGGGTGTGGAGCACATGGGGAGAGGGCCGTACGCAGGGAGGCTGGTACGAGGAGCAGACAACGGCCGCCTTCCTTACCAGCAGCACGTGGTCCAGCAGCTCCAGGTAGCCGTTGGCACACTCCCGGCCGTAGTGCAGGGCCCGAAGCCGCACATCAGGGGCCACTTCTGGGTGGTAAGCTGCTTCCTGTCCCGTGGAGTTAGCGTTAGGGTCCCACAGAGCTCCAGGCCCCCAGAGCCCCTGCACTTTCTCCGCTCCCACGTTCTGCCCTAAAGCTGCCACACCGCCTCAGACTTCCGACTCGCTATCAGGGTTTCTACCTTGCAAGCCCGAAGCATGTCTGCGATAGCGCGACGGCTCAGATTAGCCGTGGCGATGACGTCCTCCTGGCGACAGGAGTTGCCAGCGGCAACAGCCTTGGCTGTTGCCATGGTGATACCCTTGGTCATGCGAATAAAATCTTCTGGGGTGGAGGTCTTGGCAGGTGGCTCTGGGGAACAGAAGACCTGTTGGGGGTCGAACAAGAAGGAAAATTGTACAGTGAGTGAGACTTACTTTTATAATGTAGCACTCTGCTTGTAATAAACTGGTCCGTTGATCCACGGGCTCGAGAACAGCCATTCACTGAGTACTTAGTGTAGGTCAGGTCCTTGGAGGAGTTCACGTATCACAGCTAACATAAGGCTGCTGGTCATTTCTGACCGAAGTGATTGGGGAGAGTTTGTTTGAAATTTATATTGTTCGAAATTTGAGAGTTTATTTGTTTGAATTACCTTTGAGCTGGGTTTTCATTCCTAAACTATAGAGAAGCCTTGAAGGGGTGAGTGGCAGAGGTGGGGCAAGGGGCTGGCTCTTAAGAGACCTAGATAACAGGAGGTAGTTTTAGGTACACAGTGGGCCATGAATAACCAGGATGTCAAGTGAGAGAGTTATCAAGCAATGTTCTAGAATTATAGGGATGGTGGAAAAAAGGTTGTTGGGGCCTTGAGTATCAGACCAAGGTACTCAGAATTTTGCATAGTAAGTAAAAAACATTTTTTTTGATGTATGTGTTTTATCCAGCAAATTATTAAAAATCAGCAGGTGGTAGATTCTGTGTGAGGTGCTAGGAGTGCAGTGGGGAATAAAGGAGACAAGGCCTTTGTTCTCATGGAGTTTACACTATCGTTTTGGACACAGACAATAAGTAAACAAGCAGAAAAACTAAAGACTGAACTGGGCTGTGAAGGAAAAAAAGAGGGTGCCATGCTGAGAAATAAAAATGAGGTCCTTTCTCAGGTGGGTGGCTGGGGAAGCCTCTCTGAGGAGAGGACTTTTTTTTTTTTTAAGATTTTATTTATTTAGAGAGAGA